TTCCCAGGAATGTTCTGCCGGGAATAACAAACCAAAGGCTCTTCCTGGGGCAGGATGGAGGAGGCGGGAGCTGCTCCATCCTGGGAAGTGCCCGAGATCCCCAAATCCCTGTGGAATCTCCCTGTGGAATTGGCACCTGTGGATGTGGTTCCTCGGTGGCCTTGGAGCGGCTGCTCCGGATGATCCCGGGGGCCTTTCCCAACACTTCCATGAATCCCTGGGCAGGCCGAGGTTTGGAGCAGCTCCCGCCTCCTCCATCCTGCCCCAGGAAGAGCCTTTGGTTTGTTATTCCCGGCAGAACATTCCTGGGAAAAGGGATAAACTGGGATGTTTCGGGGTCCAGGAGGCCACGAGAGCTCCAGTCGGAATTTTTCCCGGGATACGGGGAAGGAATTGCTGCACCTGCTCCCGGGAGCTCCACGTGTCCCACAGCCAGCTCGGGGCAGGATTCCCACATTCCCTGGGGAAAATATTCCTTGAAATACTTAAAAGGTGTTGGGTCAGCCCCAAACCGGAGCCCGGGTTTATCCGAGCTCGGCTTTGTCAGATCCAGCAGGTGATTCCCAAACTTCCTGAGACAGGAAAACCCATTTCTGGGATCAGTTCCCCCCCCACTTTCCCTGGAGGTGCTGGGATTTGGGAAGGGCTGCAGATTCCAAGCTGCTTTTCCAGGGAAATAAAACACCTGAGACGGGGAAAACTCATTTCTGGGACCCCTTTCCCCCCTCCTGGGATCAGGGAAAAGCTCTGGGATGAGCACGGGGACATTTCCGGGTGGGAATCCCCATTTTTCCCACTTTTTTTTCCACTTTCTCCCCCTTCCTTTCCCCCTTCCCAAAAATATCCGGATCCCTCCCCGGCGACATCGGGATCAGAAGCTGAGGAAGGGAGAGGGGGGTGTTCGGGAAGGACAATTCCCTGTTTTTTCCGAGGGTTGGGAGTGACGGGAGCCTTCGGAATTCTGGGAGATTTTAATAAAGGAGCCGAGGTTGGGAAATTTAATAAAGGGCTTCATCAGATTATCCCGGGATGGCTCCGGGCCATCCCTGCCAGCAATATCCTCCTGGAAAAGGGGGGGAATGGGGGGGGTTAACCCCTCCAGCGCCGGGATCCACACGGAGCCACATTCCCGGCTTTTGGGGGCAGCACAACCCTCCCTTTGGGGGATCTTGGGGGATTTTGGGGGGGGGGGTTGGGGAGGCTTTTGGGGATTTGGTTTTTTTTTGGTGGGTTTTGGGAGGTTTTTTGGTATTTGGGATTTTTTTAGGGGAGGGATTTGGGGGCGTTTTTGGGGATTTGTGTGGGTTGGTTTTTTTTTTTTTTGAGGATTTTGGAGGTTTTTCGGAGGGAATTTTGTTTTTGTGGACGGGGGAATTTGCCGCCGCTGCCTCCTCGTTTTCTCCTTTTTCCCAAAATCTGGGAAGGGTGGGAAAAGGCTCAGAATTCCCATTTTTCCAAGCGCTGAAACTTCCCTGGAATTCCTGGGGGGGTGTTGATGACACGTTGGGCCCTCCCTGGAATTGTTCGAGTCCGGGTTGGAGCCACCTGGACTTGGATAATGGAGGGGGAAACCCAGGAAAAACATGGAAAACCCAAGGAAAACCTGGGAGCAGAGCCGGGAAAGGGGAGATCCAGCTGAGGAGCCTCAGTAAAGGTGCCGGATTTCCATGAGAAAAGGGGGGTTATTCCCAGTTTTCGGGTGAGGGAAGAGGAGTTTGAGGAGGGCTCAGAAAAGGCCGGGAAGACAAATCCGGTGGTTTGGTGTTGGTTGGGAAAGAACCGTCCCGGGAGCGGCCTCATAAAACACGTGTCAGCTCCAATTACAGGGAATTAAAATTCTCCGGCTTTTCCCGGCCCAGGAATTCCGAAGGAGGAGGTTTTAATATCCCAGAATCCGGTTAAGGAGCCGTAACCACGTTGGGTTTCCATGGGAACAGAAAACTGGGAGAGGGAGGGGGGAAAAGGGGAAGGAGGGGGGAGGGAGGGGAGAGGGATCCCCAAAAATCAGGGAAGAGGGGAAGGGAAAGGGGAAGGGAAAGGGGAAGGGAAAGGGGAAGGGGAAGGGAAAGGGAAAGGGAAAGGGAAAGGGAAAG